CTAAACTCTGTTCTCCACCTCACTGAACCATCTCCTCTGGAAGCCTCGACTGAGCTGTGCAACAACTTCTTACATTTCTTTTTGGAAAAAATTGCGACCACCAGGGCTCTCATTTCCCCTCCAACTCATGACCCATCCATCCCACCTCAATCTGTAGCTCCATTTGACCATTTTGAACCCATCACTCCATCTTCTCTAGAGCAGGTCATGTGCAGCTTGAAACCTTCTGGTTCCCCCTTTGATGTGATCCCCCCCTCGACTACTAAAGGAGGGTTTTCCCACTCTAGGTCCGTCCATTCTGGCTATAGTAAACAGTAGTTTATCCACTGGCGTGGTACCAAACTTTAAACATGCTGCTGTCCAGCCTCTCCTGAAAAAAAAAAAACCTTGACCCCTCAGTCGTGTCCAACTTCCGACCTGTCTCCAAACTCCCAATTGTTTCTAAAGTACTGGAGAAAATAGTCGAGTCCCAGTTGAAGTGCTTCCTGGAATGTCACACCATCTTAGAGCTATTCCAATCTAGCTTTAAACCTCTCCACAGCACTGAAACTGCCCTGCTGAAGGTCTTTAATGACATCTTCAGATCCACAGATACTGGTGATTCTGTGCTGCTTGTCCTATTGGACCTCACGGCCGCCTTAGACACCATCGACCATGAGATCCTCATTGCTAGGTTAGAGCAGTGGGTGGGTGTCACAGGGTCAGCCCTCAATTGGTTCAGATCCTACCTCACTGACAGATCCTTTTGTGTCTCCATCAAGGAATTTAGTTCTGCAGAGGCAGAGCTTAAATGGGGTGTTCCGCAGGGATCCATCCTGGGTCCCCTCCTATTCTCTTTATACCTGCTGCCGCTTGGTGCTATTTTCAGAAAACACAACATGCCCTTCCACTTCTATGCCGATGACCGTCAAATTTACTTCCCCCTAAGACACAATGGTACATGCTCGATTCAACCGCTGCTCGACTGCCTGGCTGACATCAGGGACTGGATGGCTTTAAACTTCTTAAGTTTCAATGAAAAGAAGTCTGAAGTCATGTTGTTCCCTCCCAATGACACAATCACAAACCACTGCATCGACCTCTCCGCTCTAACCCTGTCAGAAAAACAAAGAGTCACTAATCTGGGAGTGATAATGGACCCTTCCCTGAAACGTAATCATGTAAACATGATTGTTAAATCATGCTTCTTCCAACTGAGGCGGCTGTCTAAACTGAAGCCCATATTGTCCAAAAATAACCTGGAGACAGTAATACATGCATTCATTACATCTAGGCTTGATTACTGCAATTCACTCCTGTTTGGTATCAGTCAAACCTCCATTGCACGACTACAACTGGTCCAGAATGCAGCAGCCCGATTTTTAACCAGTACAGGCAAAAGAGAGCACATTACACCAGTTTTGGCCTCTCTGCACTGGTTACCGGTTCACTTACGAATCCAGTTCAAAATACTGATGTATGTCTACAAATCACTGAACAGTTCTGCCCCCCCATCTCTCTGATCTGCTACAACCGTATGTCCCACCACGTTCCCTGAGGTCAGTGGACCAGTTGCTCCTCACAGTTCCAGGAACTCGTCTTAAGCGCAGAGGTGACAGGGCCTTCTCTGTAGCAGGACCAAGACTCTGGAACGAGTTACCTCTGCTTGTCAGACAGGCCTCCTCCCTCTCGGTTTTCAAGTCCTGTTTAAAAACTCACTACTATTCGGTAGCTTTCAACACCAGATGATCTGTGTTTTGATCCTGTATGCTCCACACTGGTTCGTCATCATTATCTGCATCATTTTTTAATATTCTGATTTACCTCATTTTGTATATTGCTTTGTGTGTTCCCTGTTGTTTTGTCTGTACAGCACTTTGGTTGGCCTTGTCGCTGTTTTAAGTGCTCTATAAATAAAGTGGTATGGTATGGTATGGTATGGTAAACTCCAAACTTCTCCAGCACCCTGCAGCCCTGCTCCTTCACGCTGCTCCTCCGCTTCTCTGCACGACACTTTTGCACACGACCGGCACCCCCGGTGAAAAACGAGACTGACCGGAGAGGCTGAGGCTTAAGTCGTCACTGGTCCGGTCCTGCTCCAGTCCGGCTCCGGTGCTCCACAGCTCGAGAAACGAAGAGGCTGAAGTTGTCCCTGGCCCGATTCTGCTCAGGTTCAGCGGCGCTTCAAAGCACCGGAGCGTCTCCTCCAGGCGAACACAGCAATTCCACGGAGGTGGACAGTCCTTTGTTAAAAGTAACGGGCTGCTCACTGAAGCTGAGACCCGTTATGTTGAAGACGAAGTCCCCCACAGCCAACTCGGTTCGGTTCTGGTCCAGTTCAGGGGTCACAGGTACACTTACCCCACACAAATGAAGACACCACGCGGGCCAGTCCAGCAGAAAGCCAGCGAAATACCACCCGGCGATTCTTGTCGGAACCAGGTAGAACCACAAAGGTCCAGATGAGAAGTTTGTTGGGGTCTAGAGAGAGAGAGAAAAAACACCGAACCTTCGTGCGACGACACCCAAGCTCGAGGGGTCACCTGGCCGGCAGGGTGTGCTTTAGAGTGACCGGTGGAGTGGGAGCGGCCGGTCCTGGAACAAAATATATTTTTGGACGGTTCCGTCTGGCTCTCTGAGTCACTGAACACCAAATTCGGTTGGAAGGGGGACCAACTTTAATCCGGTTAGAAAAAAACAGGTCAGTTTGATGATAAAAGACTGCAGAGAAGCCGGAGGGAGCTGCCGTCCATCAGCTCGCCGGAAGGGAGCTGCCGTCCATCAGCTCGCCGGAAGTGAAGTTAAGTGAAGTGAAGTGAAGTGAAAATCATTCTCTCAATTGCAAGATCAATCTTCTCTGCTTTCAGGTGATCTATGTAGATATCTGCAGATAAGAAATTATGTAACAAAACATGTGGAATGGGATAATATTAAGAAAAAAAATCTACTGTCATTGAAGCATTTTTCATACATGTACTTGAAAAGCAAACACTAACAAATTTAGCCTTTATTTTATCCAGGTTAGTCTCATTGAGCCACGAGAACTCATTTTCAAGAGAGACCTGTTTAGGGAGCACGTGGTGGGGGTTAAGGGCCTTGCTCATGGGCCCAGAGTGGGGCGAATGAGGGTGGGGGCAGGTGTGGGTGTTTCACCTACCCCACCCACAATTTTGATGTTGTCGGGGCCGGGGCGTGAACCGGCGATCTTCGGATCACAAGCCCACCTCTCTAACCTCTGCGCCACCACTCCCCCAGTAACACTAACAAATAAATTAATCTCTGTAATGTATAGAAAATCGTTGACAAATTTGTCAGATAATACATTATATATTAAACAACAGTGGGAACTGGAGAAGAATAAAATACTAACAGACAAAACTTGGGAAAATGTATGTTCTCAATGCCATCAAGGGATTGGGAGCCAGATCTGGAAAGAGTTTGACTGGAAAGTGAAAACTAGATTTTTTTTAAAAACTCCTTTAAAAACTTTAATTTCCAAGAATACAACTACAGATAAATGCTGGAGGAACTGTGATATGGTCATCCTGATGCATGCTGAATAATCCAGGTAGAAAAATCTAAAAAAAGTTAAATCTGGTCCTCTGGACATTCAAAAAACATTAATATTGTCGGTGACCACACACGTCTTTTGGGACTGCCCCAAACTTAAGACCTTCTGGGAGAACATCAAACAGAAGATTGAGGACATTCTAAGAACAGATCTTCCCATGGATCCTCTTCTATTTCTGCTGGACATATGTCCCAAGGATTTACTCACTAAAGATCAATGTTAAATATTGCACATTCTGTTGCTAGTAGCAAGAAAGACTATTACCCTAAACTGGATTAAGCCCTGCTCACCAACTGTTGCTCAGTGGATACAAAAATTGAAACATGTCTATACGATGGAGCTTCTGACTGCCCAACTACAAATGAAAATGGATATTTACAAAGATGGTCAGGACTGTATTTTATTTGACTAAAATCTGTATGTTTCTTGATTCTGCATGTATTTAGTTTGTTTTGATAGGCATTTCCCGAACCCAATCTCAGCAGGTTTTTTTTTCCACTTTTTTTTTGTTTGTTTTGTTATTCTGATTTATTTTTCAATGTCTGTAAATTGCTGTTGTTTTTTCCATTTTGAGGCAATAAAGTTAAAAAAAAAGAATGGGAGGCAGAGCTTTCAGTTATCCTCTCTTGTGGAACCAACTTCCAATTTCTGTCTGTGAGGCTGACGCATTGACTTAATACTTTGTACTTTCCTCTTTGATAAATCCTATAGTTAGGGTTGACTTGGGTTTCCTGAGATATCCCTTAGTTATGCTGCTATAGGCTTAAACTGCTGGAGAACAAACTGACCACATTTCTTCTCTACACTACTGTCTTTACTTACTCTGCTCAACCTGTTTTGTATTTGTAATTTTTTCAATCCTTGACGTGTTTTTGTCTTTCTTCCAATATGAGGTACACCTGCACCTATATCTGGACCTACCATTCTGTGTTTGTCTTTCCTTCCTGTCCTTTGAAACCCAGCTGGTCCAAGCAGATGGTCACTTGTCCTGAGCCTGGTTCTGCAGGAGGTTTCTTCCTTTTAAAAGGGAATTTTTCCTTTCCACTGTTGCCTTTGTGCTTGCTCGGGATGGGAGACTGTGAAAAAGGGAAGATACAACAAGTCTGCTGGCTTCCTTAGATAGAGAACTTTACTAATAGGCTTTTCTATAGATGTGAATGTTTGTGTACAGTGCCCTGAGACAAGTTTATTGTGAATCGGTGCTATATAAACTGAATTGAATTGAACATGTGACACAGTGACAGGTATCTCTGAACACGTGACACAGTGACAGATATTCAAGGATTCAAGGTTATTTGTCGTACACACAGTGTCAATCTATGAAGACTTGACACCGTGACAATATCTCTGAACATATGACACAAGCACAGGTATATCTGAACACGTGGCACAGTGGAAAGCATCTATGACAGTGACAGTTATCTCTGAACCCACAACACAATGGTTTTACCATCAATTGAAGCTCGTTTTGGTAGGATCGTGACAGCACCCTCTGCAACATCTTCAAGCTCTGCAATTGGTGAACTCTTTGCACCCCAGCTGTCTGAGCCCACAAATAGGAAGTGTCCAGTCAGGTTAGCACGCCCTGCTGCTTCAAGAACACACCTATCAAAAGAGATGGAAGGAGTCAAAAGGAAGTCATGTCACCTCACAGGTGAAATAGATGAGAATACTAGACAGAACCCAGTGTTGTGAGTTTATGTCACTGAGTTTGTGTACTTGATGTCGTCCTCATTGGCAAAGATTATCACTCCTCTGGCATTACTTGTCTCCATGAGACGCTTGATAATTTTATCAAACTCTCCAACTGTGGGCTCTCGAGGAATCTTCACAGACTGAGCAATACACACACCACCTAATAAAAAGGTGACACACAGTTGATAGACAGGTGAGTGACAGGTGATTAACAGGTGATTGTTTAGTGATGGACAGATAACTGTCAGATGAAGTATGGATGACTGCCAGATGAAGGACAGATGACTGGCAGGTGAAGGACAGATGACTGCCAGGTGAAGGACGAGTGACTGGTGATGGATGGGTGACTATCTGGTTAAGGATGGGAGACTGTCTGGTGAAGGATGGGAGACTGTCTGGTGAAGGACGGGAGACTGTCTCGTGTAAGATAGGTGACTCTTTGAGAAGATGGTGCCTGTGTACATGCCTTGCAATCTCCTTATAACTTTCCATTACTTTAACCAGTATGCTCTTCATAGTTATATTCAATGATTCGGACTCAGCTACTCGTGCTTCAGCTTCCATTAGCCCATTTTCCAATGTGTTGATTTTCTCTGTGTTAGCAGATATGCTCTGGTAGATTTCACTTTTTATTTCTTTCAACTCGGTTTTCATTTATTTAATTTCTTCTTTTAATCTTTGGAAATCCTGTTTGTTTTCTTTTCATGATTCGCGTAGTTCAGTCTTAATGGCTTGCAGCACCAAGCTAATGTTTTCCTCTTGCATTGATGATCTTCCATTTCCTTCTCTTGTTGCATTTCTCTTTTTGTTCGACTTCTAGTTTAGTTGTAAACTGTGTTTTAAACAGCGTTAATTCACTAGCTTTGAGCTGACCTCCTTTGAAGTGGGTCGTTCTGACCTAACACAATGTACTGTCATCTATCGTGCCCCCAAATACAGGTCCTTCTTAAAAAATTAGCATATTGTGATAAAGGTCATTATTTTCCATAATGTAATGATAAAAATGAAACTTTCATATATTTCAGATTCATTGCACACCATCTAAAATATTTCAGGTCTTTAATTGTTTTAATACTGATGATTATGGCATACAGCTCATGAAAACCCAAAATGCCTGTCCCAAAAAAATAGCATATTTCATCCCACCAATGAAAGACAAGTATTTTTAATACAAAAAACGCCAACCTTCAACTAATCATGTTCAGTTATGCACTCAATACTTGGTCGGGAATCCTTTTGCATGAATGACTGCTTCAATGCGGCGTGGCATGGAGGCAATCAGCCTGTGGCACTGTTGAGGTGTTATGGAGGCCCAGGATGCTTCGATAGCGGCCTTAAGCTCATCCAAAGTGTTGGGTCTTGCATCTCTCAACTTTCTCTTCACAATATCCCACAGGTTCTCTATGGGGTTCAGGTCAGGAGAGTTGGCAGGCCAATTGAGCACAGTAATACCATGGTCAGTAAACCATTTACCAGTGGTTTTGTCACTGTGAGCAGGTGCCAGGTCGTGCTGAAAAATGAAATCTTCATCTCCATAAGGCTTTTCAGCAGATGGAAGCATGAAGTGCTCCAAAATCTCCTGATAGCTAGCTGCATTGACCCTGCCCTTGATAAAACACAGTGGACCAACACCAGCAGCTGACATGACACCCCAGTGACTGTGGAAACTTGACACTGGACCTCAAGCAATGTGAATTCTGTGTCTCCTCTTTTCCTCCAGACTCTGGGACCTTGATTTCCAAAGGAAATGCAAAATTTACTGTAATCAGAGAACATAACTTTGGACCACTCAGCAGCAGTCCCAGGCGAGATGCTTCTGACGCAGTCTATTGTTCAAAAGTGGCTTGACCTGGGGAATGCGGCACCTGTAGCCCATTTCCTGCACACACCTGTGCACGGTAGCTCTGGATGTTTCTACTCCAGACTCAGTCCACTGCTTCCGCAGGTCCCCCAAGGTCTGGAATCGGACCTTCTCCACAATCCTCCTCAGGGTCCAGTCACCTCTTCTCGTTGTGCAGTGTTTTCTGCCACACTTTTCTCTTCCCACAGACTTCCCACTGAGTTGCCTTGATACAGCACTCTGGGAACAGCCTATTCATTCAGCAATTTCTTTCTGTGTCTTACCCTCTTGCTTGAGGGTTTCAATTATGGCCTTCTGGACAGCAGTCATGTCGGCAGTCTTACCCATGATTGCGGTTTTGAGTAATGAACAAGGCTGGGAGTTTTTAAAAGCCTCAGGAATCTTTTGCAGGTTTTAGAGTTACGGCGTTGATTCAGATGGTTAGGTTAATAGCTTGTTTAGAGAACCTTTTCATGATATGCTAATTTTTTGGGACAGGCATTTTGGGTTTTCATGAGCTGTATGCCATAATCATCAGTATTAAAACAATTAAAGACCTGAAATATTTTAGTTGGAGTGCAATGAATCTGAAATATATGAAAGTTTCATTTTTATCATTACATTATGAAAAATAATGACCTTTATCACAATATGCTAATTTTTTTAGAAGGACCTGTACAATAAGGATTTCATTAGTGACTTTTCAAAATTTCTTTCTGAGATTGTTACTGGATATGACCATGTCCTTACTGTTGGTGGTTTTAACATCCATGTTTGTTGCACAGAAAAACCTCTGGTAAAACAAATTTTCATTCTTATCAACTCTTAATTTGGTACATTCTGTGTCTGGTTCTACAAATGATAAAGGTCACACTCTAAATCTTGTGCTCTCTTTGGTATTACCTGTGTCTAATCTGGAAATTTATGACTAGATAATGTCTGATCATATGCCTGTAATATTCCAGACTGTTCTCACATATGTTCCTGTTAAAACTCACACTCCTGCTCAGAGCTGTCGGATTATTAACCCCTCCACCGCTGGCCAGTTCACTGAGGTTGTCTGCCAGCTCTGTCCACTTGCTTCAACTGATGCTGAGGATCTTAGTTCTTGGCTCCATTCATCCTATCTGGCTGTATTGGATACTGTGGCTCCTTTAAAGACCAAACAGCCTGGGCTTAAACTTGAACCCTGGTTTCAAACAGAACATCTTGAGCTGTCAGACAGGAATGTCGCAGAGCGGAACACAGGTGGAGAAAGGACAAGGTGCAGGTGTCCTTTCAAATTTTCAAGGACTTTTGGCGCAATTACCAGGACACAGTTAAAGCAGCCAAAAAGGGCTATTTTTCTAACTTGATTTTATCTTACAGCCACAACCCTTGTGTTATTTTTAGTACCACTGACTCTTTTCTTAACTCTCCATAGACTTTTGGTTTTGAAGCATCCACTCAGTTGTGCAATAATTTTATGCAGTTTTTTTATTGATAAGGTTACCTCCATAAGGGCTTTCATCTTACGCCCAGACTCTCACCCCTCTGCGTGTGTCCCCTGCTGTGCTGCTTTCAATCAGTTTGAGCTGATGACTGTCATTTTTAGAGGACATGGTCACTCAGATTAAGCCCTCTGGTTCAGCATGTGATGCTCTTCCACCACACTGTCTTTAAGAGGTTTTTCCTTGTTTTGAACACTTGGTTCTTGCCCTTTTTAACAGTAGTTTGTTATCTGGAGTAGTCCCTGCTAATTTTAATGCTGTGGTGCAGCCCCTGAAAAAGAAACCTGGTCTCAATCCCACTGTGGTAGAGAATTTTATGTCCATCTCCAAGCTTCCCTTACTGTCAAAAATCTTGGCGAAAATTGTTTATTAACAGTTAAAAGCCTTCCTGGATGAAACATATCATGATGGATATGTTCCAGTCTGGATTTAAAACTTCACAGCACAGAGTCAGCTCTGCTGAGTGCTTTTAATGACCTCCTCCTGACGTGACTCGGTTGATCATGTTGTGACAGCCTGCTTGTTGCACTGAACTGGCTGCACTGTTTTTTTCCCTCTCCCTTGGCCCTACTGTCCTTTCACCTTAAGACATGCCCTGAACACACCTGTCTCTCATAGACTGACTTGTTTGTCAGCTGTTCAAATTGATTGCTGTCTTGTTTATAAAGATGACAGTTCACCCTGCACTGAGAGAGCAGCAGCCACATCCACCCTTCTTTCCTACAGAAGCCATTAAAATAAATCTGAGGCTGTATAAACCCTCGTGTTATTATAAAATGTACTGCCGTTCCGACGTTTCAACACAGAAGTGTTGGAAGCTGGTGTTGTCATTGAGTCAAAAGTTTGATCGTAAGTTTTATAACTAATCAAATCTTAAAATGACTAAAAAAAATAATTGCTGCACTCCCTTATAGAAAATAAAATTATTTTAAATGTGATATTTGTCCAGAGCAGCTGATAACAGAAAACTGACTCCTGATTCTGCCTCAGAGATTTTCATCATGATCTGTAAGTCTATTTATTATTTTCTGTAATGTTGTGATTTATGTGCATTGTAATAATGAAATTGTATTTGGGACCTTATGTATTTCTTTTGTCGATTCTCAGCTCGTGCTGTGAGGCAAAATATGTGTGGGAGCCATTACCTGCCTTGTGAACTCTGGGGAAGAATCAAGGACACTTTTTGTGGGGAAGGGACTTGTCTCCGTTTATAGACATTGAAAATACAAAACTTAAAAGGACATGTACTTATTTGTTCATGGACATTGAAGAAACAGAGGTGAAACATGTTTTTATGGGCATTGGAAAAGGAAAAAATACAAAACTGAAAATGTTATTGTGTGGTTGGTCTTGTGTGAAACAATATGTTGTCTTTCACTGTACCAAAGAGTCTACACCTTGTAGTGTATGGTCCTTGTGTGACAGATTAAAAAAAAAAAGCAAAAGGCAGTAACTCAAAATCCTACTTGTCAGGAGGGATACCTGACTGGCACCCCTTTTAATAAATACAAACTTTTGTAAAACTGTCACAATGTGATCCTTGTGTTACTAGACTTAACTGCTGCTTTTGACACAGTAGACCACAGCATTTTATTGTCACATCTACAACACCAAGTAGACATCAGTGGGACTGCTCTGGAGTGTTTTGGGTCCTAGCTGGCAGACAGAACATTTTCTGTAAAATATTCTGGATGTGAATCCTTTTCTGCTCCTCTGTCATGCGGGGTTCCTCAGGGATCAATTTTAGGGCCTTTGCTTTTTTCTTTATAGCTACTTCCTTTAGGATCGATATTTAGAAAAGACAGCATCTCCTTTCTTTGCTACGCTGAT